CAACTGGGGCACCTGCTTCCTGACGACGCTGACTTTTGAGCCGCTGGAGGATGCCATCAGCCCGGCGGGTACGTTCTGGATGTACGCCTGTCTCTGTCTCTTCGGCGCGGTCATCTTACAGCTGACATTGGTCGAGACGCGGGGCAAGACGCTGGAGCAGATTCAGCAGCACTTTGACACGGGAAAGGACGTGGAGCCGAGCGACGCATCAAGTCAAGACAGCAGGGGCAGTGGCGGTGATTTGAAAGGATAGGGTACTGTGCCAAGGCAGTGGCACAGAGGTACAAACAATCGAATTGTTCCGTGGGTGTCATCAAGCATAGACGGTAGGGCAGAGTAGATGAAACACGAAGCTGACTGAAGTTAACCATGAAGTAAATGCCATGCTTGAGCGCTGCATATCATCTGCATTGTGCCTACGTTCGAAGAAGATCGTGCGAAATGTGTGCAACGTGAACGCATTGGTCATGTTTTTATAATAGGCGTTGTTATAGTAGGTGTTATTCTACCTGTGCATCAATGATTAATGATCGATTTAATTCGTAAATACATATATCCGAGTCAACGTGCCTATTGTTTTTCCTAACTAGTGGGTGTTACATAGGAACAGTCGTTTAGCCCCTTCTGCCTCTTATGATCGCCGGAGCTTCGTAATAACCCTCGCCCGGCGAGGGGGGATGCAACCTCCCTAAAGTTTTTCGCATATAACGTAAAAACAACGGCGCGATAGCGCCGCCAAACTTGGTATACCCCCTGGGGCAGCCTTTTGGCACCTATCCTGAAAATTTAAAGTCTCAGACTTTTCAGGTCAGGTCACCAAGTCTAAAAAACCGGTACAAGGTCAGGGGAAAATTGCACTAGTTTAGCGGCAACAGAATGACATAGTTTTTCGTTGATAGCGCAAGTGTAATGGCACGTAGCGCTACCGAATTTCAGACACGACTTGCAGCATTTATGTGTCACATGACCTGGGAGTTTTAAATTCCAGTCACCCCAGGTCAGGTCACATGGTTACAAATACCGGTACGTTGGCTTAATGGTATTAAAAATGCACTATTTTGTTGATGAAAACTAGAGTTCTTCATCAGTTTGAGTCAAAATTGCCAGATATGCTTAGCTCACCGAGTGCCACGATATGCACCACCAATTTTTTCAACTTCAGATGACCTGCGGTCATCTAGAGGTCATGACAAATTTTAAGGAAATTTGCCCGAATGGGTCTAAATGTGTAAAAATGAGAGCTTTGTTCTCAAGTTCAACGTTTTTGTGTTGTACCTACACCCTTGAGTTATATCTACTTGGTATCTACAAGGTACAAGAACGCTAGGGTCGAGTCAACTGAGGTTAACTAGGGTCAAACTACGTGTTTGCTAATTACTTGGCACATAAATCCCGCGCCCCGTAGGGGGGGGGCGAAACGGCCCCCCTGTCCTTTCCGTCGATATCTCCTAAACGGCTGGAGACATCGCCACTAAACTTTCAGGACCCCTTCGGGCATCAATTTTACAAATTGTGACCAAAAATTTTTCCAGAGGCTATGATAGGTTGGCCACAAATGACGTCAATGTTCTGCCATTTTCGACCGAAAGAAGACCTTCGCGAGAAGACCTGTCAGGCCTACAGCTTTGAAAATACTGAAAAATGATGAAGGCATAAAAGGTGTAGAATTGACAGGGCTACAAAAAAGCTATCTCGGATTTTTGAAGTGTTTGAGTTTTGACACCCCAAAATCAAAAAACATTTTTTTTATATATTAGCCAAAAAATCAAAAAGGTTTTTTTAAGTTTCGAAAAAAAAACGGAATATATGTGATAGTGCCTACCGTCTTCTATCTACATACCAAATTTCAGATCGATACCTTGTTTTTTTTTGGCCAAGTTATAGCGAAATAACTGTTCAAAAATGATGACGTCAAATTTTCAAACTCATTTTTTTTGACAATTCTAGACCTCGTAGAGCAAAACAAAGACCGTCATTAGACTCCCCGTGACAAGCTGCATCGAATGGACACCCGTTTTATGCAAAAATATCAACTTTTAAATTTGACCTAATTTGACCTAACCTTGACCTGACCTTCACCAAAACGTGACCTAGGCTGGCCCCAAAGGCTGCCTAACCCAAATAATCGCATTTGTCATGTAAAATGGACCATAAAACATGTATCAAACGACACATTCATATTGTGACCTCCAGTGACCTGACCTCGCTGTGACCTGATCTGATATCAGAGACCTCAGATAGCAAAGTATGTGTTTGACGAACAATGTACCATCGATGGTTTTCAATAAATTACCAATTTACTCGATTTCACAACGCATTTCTTGAAATGCCTGTGAACGGCGAAAACCCGACCTTTGACCTGACCTGTGATGTTATCGGTTTGACCAAGGTCAATGAAATTTGGTCACAAGGTAGTTTCCGGGTGGGGCTATCGAACGCCGATTGAATTTCGAAAATCGGCTGGTAAATTTCCGAGATCTTAGAGGGGGGCCGAAACGCCCCCCCCCCCCCCCCACGGGTGGTAGGGTCCGCCGATAGCCCTACGGGGCGCGGGATAAATGAGGCTAGAGCTTCAAAAATGGTGTCATTGTGTCTCCCGCCTGAGGACGGTAGTAAATTGTAAAATATATATTTTTTTTTTGTCACGCATGCTTTCGGGGAGTGGTGAAAAGACATCAAACTAATTTGCTTACCTGTGAACCAGTAAGCAGGGTTGTATACGACTCAATCAATAGCAATCAATTCAATCACGACAAATTTGGGAAACCAATCAAATCAATCAAGTCAGAGCAGTTTTCGGGAATTGATTCAATCGACTCAAACGCGACAATGAAAGGAATCAATCAACTCAATCAAACGACTCAAACCAAGATATACATTAGGTTTTTTGCCCCACCAACTTGGAAAAGTGTCCATAGCAGTCTGGTGTACCTACCTACCTACCTACCTACCTACAGAAGAAACATAAAAATATTGTCATTTAAAATTATAAATTGCCATGCCATTCAAAGTTTCTATGTAATGAGGAAGGATACCTAGTGATGGACAGGTGGATCATGATAATGAGGTTCAATGGGTAGAATTGGAGCAGAAGTTTCATTTAATGGGTGCAAAATTACCCAGTAGTTGACTTCAACAAACGCCCCTTAACCCAAATCACCACCTTTCACCTAAAAGTTGTCAATTTAATTTAGGCCATATTCCAGCTAAGTCATCAGGCCATCTACCCCATGTAAAGCCCCCGTCTGTCTCTTATGTGAGTTATGCGGAGCTCTTCTGAATTGAACCATGAACATAATGAACCTAGCTAGATTACATGCCACACTGACACCATATGAAAGTGTTGAAAATGTGCTACAAATTTGACAACTTCATTAGGTATGCTTTATGAAGACAGCAGGAAAGCAGGTAGGTACCTACTTACCTGCCTAGATGTGTCACTGGCTACCAACAGTACCAACGAAGGTAGATAGGTTATATATGAAGAATTCAAAACATTTTATTGCAATACAATTTGAAACTGTTAGGACTGGGGGATAGGGATGAGCATTAAAAATATATTTAAAAGGAAATGGAAAGGACAGGGACTCTGGAACCACAGGATAAGTTAAGGACAAAGGAAGAAGAACAAGGAAAATTAAAACGCGAAAACGGCACGGTGCGACCGCGAAAAAACAAGAAAACGTTTTGCCAATGAGCATGCTAAGCTTTTATAAATCCTTATTCTACGTCTTTTGATTTTTTGGTAAGATGACGTCATTGATTATCATGTAGTATGGTAGATCATCATAAAATAAATCGGTTGTACAACACCAATTTCGTTTTAATTATTATTTCATTTGAAATAAAACCACTTAATAATATTCGGTAAAATATTTTAAGGAAAATGAAATATATTAAATATGTTATGCCTAGGCTCTCAGGAGAAAAGGATCAACAAACGTTCTGCTGCAAATTAAACAATGCAGCACATTAGCTATTAATGTAAACGTAATTAGCGAGACGAAAACGGCGCTTTTGTTTCAGTTATTTTTGTAGGGGTTTCAGATATTCATAGAGTTCAGTGGGTTGTTTCTGAGGAGATGTGGAGATGTGAATTATTAATTAATCACACTTTATTAGTATATAGGGCCTTGCACTTTATCATCTGGATTAAAAAAAGTTTCCTGCTGAGTGCAGAAAGGTAGGTAGGTGCATCGCCAGGTTCTATCACAGGATTGGAGCAGTTATTGCAGTTGAAAGTCAAAGTTGGCTGTTCATGTTTAGGCCCTGTTCTTTATTTGGCCATCTACCCCATATTGCAGTTGTGATGACAAGCAGTTTTCAGTGTAGTTTTGTGATCTTTGATGTCATCAATTGGTGTCATTATTTTTCGTCAACTAAAACTTATTTCAACTTTCCATTCAATCGACTCAATCATACGAGTCACTCTAATTTTCGGGAATCAAATCAGTCAACCAGTCGCTAAAGTCAAACGAGTCAGTCAACCAGTCATCTCCAAAAGTCAATCGACTCAATCCAATCAACTCAAAATACGCGTTGAATCAAATCAATCAATTCAATCGACTTGATTGGTATACAACCCTGCCAGTAAGTGCCTGGGGGCTCAGCCCAACAGCATTTTCTGATTGAATTGCACTCTCTCGTAGAGTTGCCGTTCCGACCCTAGGGGAGACGACTTCACCAACCAATCTCTCCGGAGTCCGAGAGAGGGAGAGCGTCTAGCGTCATCTACAATCCGGCTGAGAGCGAGTAGCGACATCTGTTCTGATTGCCAAACATGAGTTTACCAGCTTATAGGATTTTCTGCTAAAGTAATGTTCTTGAGTGTAATCCGCCTACTCATTTATGTTTTTCTCTCATAATCAATCATTTTTGTCTGACTTTGTGCTTTTCTGAGTCGATATCTTTTAGCATGCGCCCAAGTTTTCAATGAATGACGTCATTTGCCGCTCTGCTCAGCTGAGCGGCGCAGCGGGGGCGTGCGCGGCGCACGGCCAGGGGAGTGATGTGGCACGCGGCCGGCGGCCCCGGGCCGCCGGCCGCCAGTCGCCGCCGCTCGCTGGTGGGGGACCCGTGATCCACGCGATCGCTCGACAAGCCCGTACAGGCGCGCACCCTTATTTCCTACATGTGCGCCGGAGAACTAACGACGGCCCAAGTCGTGAGTATCCGACCGGGGGAGGGCGGAAATGCTAGATGTGTGTGCCTAGGTGGACAGGGGTCATTTCATTTTCTGGCGCTCGTGCAACCCGTAGGAATGGTGGAAAAGACCAAATTCAGAAATGTGGATAAACGTTTGAGTTTTGCCGTATTTATTTGCTTTCATGCAAGTTTGTGTTAGTTTGCTATTTTTGAAATGCATTATTAAATTTAATGCTAGTTGCATGTAGATTAGTTTTAATTTGGAATAATATTAGTGTGCTTATTTTCAGCGAAAACGCTCTATAATCGCATTATATTTTGCTATTAAAAAGTCTATAAAGCCAAACTTGTGCACCCCATATGGCGGGTGACTGCGGGGTACATTGAAGTGGAACCCGAGTGTGGGACGCTCGGGATTCCCGAAGCCCTAGAGGGGTCGGCGTGGCCGTCCGCACGACGTGTTGGAACCTGTTCTCTCTTACCGGGCCGCTGACGTGGCGCGATGGCGGATAACATCACACTCGCCGTCCTAGCAACCGTCAGAAACGAACAGGATCCTGAAAGAACTGGTCTTTCATCTTTGCTCGTTTTGCAACTGGTCTCTCAGATAAGCGCGATTTTTTCTTCGTTTGATAACCGGCGAAGAATGGGAGGCTTGATAATCCTCAAGATCTCACCCGGCCTTTATTGCCTGCCGTGAAACTATGAAGCCCGTTGTTGGACGCTCCATTGTAATTACCCTGCCGCTATTCCGCGGGTATCCCATTGGCCGATTTTCGCCCAGTTGTTGGACCACCTGCGCACCTGACGTGCCACCTGATCAGCTGTGCTGTTTCGGCCGACCGCCTGGGGCACTTGTCGGTCCGACCGGCCTGCCCGCGCGGCCGCCGCGCCGCGCCGGGGCGGCCGGCCGGCAGCGGTCGATATCTGGCTCGACACCCACTGACCCGGGCGGAGCCCCGGGGCGGCACGGGGCCACCCGATCCGAACCGGGCGTGCCTGTTGAACCGTTCGACACGAGCCGAACGGCGGGGCGTGTCCTTTACCGGACGGAGGTACGTGGAGGGAAGGTACGGTGTCAGGTGGCGTACCTAGCCTGCCCTGTGTGACACGGGCACCCGAACTGTGTCAGGAGCTGTGTCAGGGACTGTGTCGGGGACGGAAATGCTGCCAGAGGCAGCACTGAAAGTGTAAATTGTAAGGGACAGGAGTGTTCTCAGATATGGTATGGGGTAGGAATTATGAACTGTGTCAGAGGCGGTACCGTATAGGTGTAAGGGACAAGGACTGTCGTCATGCAGGCAGTGGCGGTGGCACTGATGGGAACTGTGTCAGACGTAGGACCGAGTCCGGAGAGGTGTCAGGGTCAGCCGGTGGGGACGACGAAAGGACAACTGTCCTGACAGCCGAGGGTCGCCCGCGGAGTCTTTGTCTCCAGTCTTTGTTCTCCCTAGATCAGCTTCGTCTTCTGCCTCGTGATGAGCATTGACAGCCTATACGAGATGACAGGCTTTGCCGGCTTTGTCTGGGCCAGTTTCATTTTCTCTGGCGTTGAAGTAAACTCCAGAGGCTTCGCCGCTATGGATCGGAAAACGGTGCCAGTGTTGTGATAAAAATAGCGGCGTTGCTGGCTGGCAGGCCTGCTGCAGGCAACCTTGGCTCGCCCGGCACCACCGTTATAACCGAGACCCTACAAGCATAAGAGGATGATTGTCCACGACGCCGGATTCGTTCTGCAACCATGGGAAAATCCGCCGAGCTTAGCAGAATGCGCTCTTCGCTGCAAAGCAAAGAAGGAAGATGAAGTTTAAGAATGTACAGGTAACTCTGGCGCAGGAATCATACTTTTTTCGTGACATGGGTTATGCAGCATCCAAGCATTATTATTTAAAATGAACACTTCCTTAGTACCTGAACGGGTAGAAACACACTATTTAATATGTGAGCTTCTGAACCATTGCATGCATGATGTTATTACTTATTTGACTACGTTATGTATAGCTGGTAAATTTGAATGAATGCATACATGAATGCATATGATATTATAATAATATAAAAAAGTGCATACCTAAGTTAAAGCCCACGTCTTGCTTCAATAAACGAAAAACACATTACCCAAACGTCGCAAAGGGGTCGTAGACTTTTCTGGAACAATGGTTACGAAACGAAACCACTACGTCTTCCGGCCAACTGCGGCGTACCTAGCTCGCCAACTGCGGCGCTCTTCGGCTGCTGCGCCGCGGATTTGGCGGCCGTGACCGCGGCGCAGATCAGATTCGGTATCACCGGTGCCGGTTCCTGGAAAGGGTGCGACCGAGAGACTGCGAGCACCGAGTCCTTCGCTCACTGGAGCGCAGAAGAGGGCTGGACTGGCCTTGTCCGTGTCCCGTGCCTTGCACCGTGTCCCGCGCTGGAATCCCGTGCCGTGACCCGTGCCGTGCTTGGCCGGGATGGCTGGTGGTCTATGAAACGAAACGGGTGGGGCGGGATAGGGAGAGGGCGATAGGGGGTGGGCAGGCCGGAGGCGGCTCTGCAGGATATAGGGGACCGAGAGTGGAATGAGAGAGGACTGGATGGGGCAGAGCGGAGAGAGCGGTGGCCGGTTTCGGATGCATCGAGAGCGGTGGTTGGCAGTAACGTCCGGTATTTGGACGGTTATGAGAAGGGAGGGCCTGGGTTTTCTCTGCCGTCCCATCGCCTGTCTGACCGAGCGGCGATGACATTTGGTGACCCCATTCTCCATTTGTGACAGCCATGAGCCAGACGCCCGCCTTGGGCGGTTCTCGACCACTCGACTTGTGTCCAGACCAGGTCACCGGACATAGCCCAGATCAGTCCAGAGGGCAAACGAAAACCCAGCCCAACCCAGGGGGATCCACTGAAGGAATGGCTCGCTTCGGAATAGACAAACATGTTATTCCGCCGGCTCCTGATGCATGTGATTTGGAATGCTCCAACATATAATTTCGCCGTCCCAAACCATTAATCACACGGCGAAGCCTTTGAAGTCCCATATCACGCTAGCCCTAACCAAATTCCCAAATTCCCTTTAGAAGTGCCCAGTGCACTGTGCAGCATCAGTCCCTACCAAACATGGTCAGAGGCGTTGCAAAACCTGAGTCGGCATTGGCCTGCCGACTGCCGGTGCTGAGTGGGCTTCCAAGGAAAACGGGTCAGGCTACGATTCACACTACGGATTATGCCATACGATATATGAGGACGAACCTGGCGCTAGTGCTTGGTGAAGTCACTGTGCTCGTCAGCTTCGTTTGATTCACTTCACACATATGGTAATCAGACTTGTGCCGGGACCAAAAATCAAGATCCAGGATCCTCAAGGTCCCACGGCAAATTCAATTTTTAGAATCCAAGGTTTCTAAGGTCCAACGGCAAATTCAATTTCTAGAATCCAAGGTTTCCAAGGTCCCACGGCAATTTCAATTTCTAGAATCAAGGTTTCCAAGGTCCCACGGCAAATTCAATTTCTAGAATCCAAGGTTTCCAAGGTCCCACGACAAATTCAATTTCTAGAATCCAAGGTTTCCAAGGTCCCATAGCAAGTATACTTTGCAGGGTCCACAGTCCCCAAGGTCCCACAACAAGAATGCATTGCAGGATCAACAGTCCCCAAGGTCCCACGACAAGAATGCATTGCAGGATCCACAGTCCCTAGGGTCCCACGACAAGTGTGAATTTCAGGATCCACAGTCCCCAAGGTCCCATGACAAGTACACACTTCAGAGTTCAGGGTCCACAGTCCTCAAGGTCCCACGGCAAGAATACATCTCAGGATCCAAAGTATTCAGGGTCCCACAACAAGAACTTAAACAAACTTACATTCTGATGAGCAGACTTACTTCTAAATATTCTGCCAATGGATGCCCAGCAACATTTAAAGGGGCAGAACCTATGCAAACCTGTGGACTGTGGTGGTTTTATCGTTAACCAACATAGGTAGGGGGAGCTTCAGCACAAGTTAAAAATGAATCATAATATCAATCTCTCCTTCTTTAACCTGACAAATTCGTAAAAAATATAGGTAGGTAATAGGTACCTTGCAATTTGTATTGTCATGTCCCTTTCAATTCAATCTTACCTTATCAGTAGGAATGTAGGATAGCACCTTACAGTTATTGAAGACAGACATTCAAGTATTCTTTCAGGCAATATAAAAAAAAAACAGAAATAAAACCTACAGGCTTCATAGAAATGGAAAAGTTGAATTGGATAGGTATATGCTTTCGATTTTCTGCACATTCAGTTACATAATACCTAGGATAAAAAGTAAAATATGTTTTAAGTCTTGTTTGCGCGAGCGCTCACAGAAAAACTGATGGACTAAGCCAATAGAATTAGAGTATCAGCGAGCGCAAACCTTACTTACTGTTCATTCACATTAGATTGAAGGCTCTGAACAAAATTCCATCTGACAATCGTCAGCCGGTTATTCGTCGGCAGATTTTCGTCTGACTTTTTCGTCTCGCATTTTTTTGTCTGTTCGAATTAAATTGGTGCATTTTTCGTCTGAGTATTTTTCTGTCCGGCATTTTTTCGTCTGGACGAGGCGGAAAATGTCCTTATGAAAATAATGCGCGGACTTGAAAATGCACAGACGAACAAATGCATAGACGAAAGTCTGCGGACGAAAATCTGCAGACGAAAAATTGTCCGACGAAAACCTGCTAAACGAAAAAGTTGAACTGTCATGGAATGATTGCTTATATTGCTCATTGCTCAATGGTGATTTGATGAATGGAAAACAAATAAGTTTGGCACTTAGGGTAGCTTCCAAGTAGCTTCAAGCCCGGCATATCACAACCCAGAAAATATGTGAGGTGAGATTAGAAAAGAACTTTCCAAACCACCACTGTCCACTGTTTGACAGTTTCATAATCCACAACATTGATAATGTAAAAAGCTACCAGGTCTCTTGTTCCAGTTCTGCCTCACAACCATGGCAATGATTTTGCTCTATATATGTCTACACAGTCTGGTTCGTTTTCTCTTTGTGTAGCTATCTAGCCCCTTGCAGCTGGTCGCTCAACCATAGATATTTATTGAAGACTTGAAGTGCTTACAGACAAAACCTAGTGCAGGGTCCTTAGTGGCCCATGTGCAACATAAACCTCATGGTCCAGCTTCCAGGATTCTTGAGGTCCCTCAACAAAATGGTGGTGTAGGTCCAGACCGTTCTCCTAAGATCCCATTACAAATAATAAAACTGGTACTGAAGGTCTGCATTCTGCAGGGTCTTGCAGCATACCAAAATTTTAAGGTCCTAACCCCTGGGTTTCCATGGTTTTACGGCATATGAAATGTTGAGGTCCTGGGTTTCTAAGGTCTCATGTCACATGAAATGTTGATGTCCTGGGATTCCAAGGTCTCGCGACATGTGCAAATGTTGAGGTCCTGGGATTCTAAGGTCTCGCGGCATATGGATGTTTTAAGGTCCTGGGATTCCAAGGTCTCGCGGCATATGGATGTTTTAAGGTCCTGGGTTTCCAAGGTCTCGCGACAAAAATGACAATGCAAGGTCCAGGATCCATCAAGGTCCCAGACCTTGGACTCTGCGAACCCTGGATCTCGGATCTTTTTGGGACCTTGGCACAAGTCTGATGGTAATGCTGACTAATTTTGAGCGAAGGGGTTAGTCAGAAACTGCTCTAAAATTGATATAGAGGCATCTGTTCATGTTCGTTTGTGACGGCCACATTCCACTCATCCAATAGCGTTCTCGAGTTCATAGCATATCTTTTATACTGTGATTGATTGAGCTAGAACTTAAAGGTATGTCATGTGTGTAACTGTGTAGCACTTTCGATGAAATGGAACGCTGAATGGAAGCCAGAGCTGCGAGCTATTTGATACACCAGTATGTCACCGATATCGTGCTGGTATTTCGGCAGCATGTCGAACTACCTTGCGGCTTGTTAAATGTTCTGAGCGGATGCTTCTACTGCGCTTAGATCCATCACATCGCCAACCAGCGTCAGGCGTTAGTCAGCTTTCTGTCGACACCATCACATTCCGACGGTGCATCGTTCTGGTCACGATCCACCAGCAGCGCACAACCCTCATGTCACGGACCAACTGTGCAGTGCACGTCCGCGGGACGGGCGAGCGCAGCCTCGGAGCGCCGCATCATTTCCAGAGCGTCACGAAACGGCCACCCCCGGCCTCTGATTAGCCGTGGCTCTGAGCCGACACTGCTCCATTTAGGGAGACCATCACGTGACCGGCTTATCCGATCACGCAGTCTTATGACACGCATCACGTGACCATTGACTGTGATTTCCGGACGCGCCTGTTGTGAGTCTGAGTCGCTGGGGCCGGCGCCATGACGGTCTGACGAGGCCGGCCAGGGTCTGTCGACCGCTCCAAACAAGTGTCAGCGGCGCCAGGAGACAGGCGGCACCATGCCCGGCGGGTTCGTGGACAGGCGACACCACGCCCGACGGGTTCGTGTGTCCCCCGCGACCCAGAGACCCTCCCCTCCCCCTCCCCCTCCCCTGAAGGCTGTCCCTGCCCCGGTATAGACTGGTTTAGTAGAACGGCGGGGAGGGGGGAAGGGGGCGGCCTTGTTGCCAGCGTCGTCGCCTGATGCCCCCCCCCCCCCGATACACCACTCCCTCGATCGATTTCTCGCACCTGTGTAATGTCGTTTGGTTGGGGACGGGGCTGGAGGGGAAGGGGTAGGGTGTCAGTGTTGTCACATGCCCGGTCCAAGTGTCGTGCTCAAAAGTTTAATGGCAGAAGTCAAAAGTGATGAAACAATTTCGTCGATGCAGCTTCCACCTGTGTTGGAATGCTTTGAATGCCCAGTAATTGAGAAAACATGTGGGTGTCTACAAATAAAGCCAATCATGTAATCTGAATAGTTGTGAAGTGAGAACAGAACAAAGTTCAGTTGGGCAATCCCACGCGGCGGGGGCTGGGCTTGATGAGCTCCATACACCGTGTCTGGTGGGGGCACGTGTTGCCGTCGATCTGGGACGCTCCATCCGGCCGGTCCGCCGCCGCCGCCCCCGCCCCCCCCCCCCCCCGCCCGGCGCCTGACGCCACCCGGCGGCGGCGGCGACGGTGGCGGCGCAGGGAGCGGCCGGCAGGCATTGATTCGCCGGCTGGCGGTTGGGGCTCGGGACATCCTTCCACCCCTGCCCTTCCCCTTTCCTGAACGGGCTGAACCGCTCAGCGCTGGCTGACTCAACCGGGGTCGGGGAGGATGGCTATTTACAGGAGGAAGGAGGGAAATGGCTGAGTGCGGGGAGGAAAAGTGTCACCCACCGCGCGTCATAACCGATGAGGTAACTGTTAGCTCTGCAGTTGCGCCGGCCATTGTTCAGGGAGGCCATCACGTGAGCAACGCGACAAACATTTAGGCGGAAATGACTGCATCTAATGCTGTTGGCATTGTGATAGGGTTGTCCGTTTATTCAACGAACTGTCGAACACACTGTATAATTTACGATACGGGGTATCCATATTCATTCATCGAAGAAAAGAATAAAACACAATGCCTATGCATTTGAACCTTCCATGCTTGCAAGATGTTCCACTAGTTTTTCTCGCGCCTTTTACCTTTATAATGCTAGGCTAAAGTGCCCTGATGCAGTGGCGGCGGAAGCGGGGGGGCAGCGGGGGCACGGCGCCCCCCCATCTTCCAGGGTGGGGGGGGCAAACATATCTTTTTGCCCCCCCAAAATTGTTATCGACGAAGTACCACAATACTTCCATACTACCTACGTCAGGAACATATGCCAGTTTGGCTGAGTACCTTTTTATTAAGTTGATATAGCGAGTGACTTGGATTGATAATAGCCGTTTTCACGACGGGCTATCCGGCGAGCTAGTCCGTGACGGGCTATTTCCACCAAACGCCCTCCACACATAATGCTCAGAAATCAAGCAGAGCTATCTACGAGCTACCGGTAACCGAAGTCTGGAAGAGTAGGACGGAACGCGAGTGGCCCGGCAGGCGGCACGGACGTCACGAAAGTGCGTCTGAGCGTGCCACAGGCCTTTCCCCGCGACTCTGCCAGACGCCAGCCGGCATAGGCGCGTGAGCCGGGGGCAGCATGGGGGCAGCCTGCCCCCACAACTCTGGGGCCGTGGGGGTCTCTGCCCCCGCAAAGTTTCAAAGGGCCAGGAACCGTCGGGGCAGCTTGTCCTCCCCATATTAGCGGCCGAGGGCCTCAAAGAAAAGCTGAATGGAAGACAATACCTATTTAAGTAAAAAAATCCCCCTCTGTACGGGGACCCGCAGTTGCTATTGTACACGAACCCCAACTCTAGCCGTCTGTCCTGTCCAGTAACAACCGATAACATTGATATCGACTGCCGGTCCCTGCACAAGAGCAGCTGAGGTTTTCTGTGCGTGCCCTCTGACAGCTTATCGTTGTTCCCTGTGAGGGTGCTGGGACAATTTACTCAGGGTCGCTGTACAGTAGCAACTGCGGGTCCCCGTACCTGACTTGACAGCTCATGTGTGGAAGCTTTAAACGTTTATTCCAGGTTACCAAAAAGGTAGTTTCTTGACTCAGATGAGACTAATTATCTCACTTATTTGCAAATGTTTTATTTTTTATTTTTGTTGTAAAGGCCAAGAGGTGAAAAATAAGTGGCCTAAAACCGGCGAGAAAACTAGATTTGGGGGTACCCTAGGTTCCGGGAAGGATCAGGTGTGCCCCCCCATCCCAAAATACCTTCCGCCGCCACTGCCCTGATGATCGTTTTGCTGTTATTTTATGTAAAACTGTCCGTACATGTTTATGATAATTAATTTCATTGTTTTGTTGCCGTTTATTTTAGTTTTTGTTAAGCTAACAGCGCGTTTTCTCGGCTATTGAATCGGTGTGTTTGTGCATCCTGTGAAATTACCGCTGACTTGACCTGTCGCTATCTGTGGCCTGTGCCTGCTGGCTTGGGTTGCGAATGCCATTGTCCCGGCGGTCTAAATTGTAATCTCTTTGTAGGACCTTCACTGTTGGGGACCGGTTAGAAAGGTGATCGGCACCATTCAGATACCTAGTACCTCACTTTGTACTTGCGCACGTGCAGAGACCCTTCGCGCCAAAGAACGACAAGGCCGATGGCGGTCAAAGTTCATAGGTACAGCGTTAGGGGTCGGTAAGAAAGGTGGTCCGCACAAGTTACTCGGGGGTCTCACGTCGCACTTGGGCACGTGTAGGGCTCACTATTCTGTTCTCTCCCTTGCCGCCCAAAAGACGTGTGACAGGTAACCTCAGGTAACTGCACAGTGCTCGGTGACCTGACCTGTGACCTCTCTGTCTGCCGCAGCAGCAGTCTGGCCGGGGCTACAGCCGCATGGAGGTGCGCAAGTGCAGCGGAGAATTCTGCCGAGCTCAGCACAAGTGAGCTGCCTAGCTGCCTAGCCCAATAGCTGCCTAGTCGCCTTTCAGCCACCTAGTCGCCGCCGAGAGCCGCCCCGACCTCCCAGCGCTTCCATGGGACGAGGCGCCACACCGTAGCGCCAAAGAGAGGACAAGAGGGCCGCTCGTCCGACGGTCAGGGAGTGACCCGAGCGCCGAGCCGTGCCGAGTGGACGTGGCCAGACGTCGCCCAGTTGTCTGTACTGTGAGTGGCACGAAGTGAAATGAGCAACATGAAGAGCAAGGGCAGCCGTCCAGCTCCTTCGGAGATCGAGTACCGTGGCGTGCGCTTCCTGATCACGGATCGGCCCACTGAGGCCATCCTGCCCTCCTATATCGAGGTGAGTGGGGCAACGGTTGTCGCTCAGTCCCGCCCCGACTCTGTCTCTGTCTCTGTCTCTGTCTCTGTCTCTGTCTCTGTCTCTGTCTCTGTCTCTGTCTCTGTCTCTGTCTCTGTCTCTGTCTCTGTCTCTGTCTCTGTCTCTGTCTCTGTCTCTGTCTCTGTCTCTGTCTCTGTCTCTGTCTCTGTCTCTGTCTCTGTCTCTCTCTCTCTCTCTCTCTCTCTCTCTCTCTCTCTCTCTCTCTCTCTCTCTCTCTCTCTCTCTCTCTCTCTCTCTCTCTCTCTCTCTCTCTCTCTCTCTCTCTCTCTCTCTCTCTCTCTCTCTCTCTCTCTCTCTCTCTTCAGCTCTCGTTTTCGTTTCTTTTCCGAACCCCTGTTTAACCCTGTCATTCGCTCTACGCTCTTTTCGTTTTTTTTTTTTATCAACGATAGCATTTCGAAATGAAGGGCTAAGTAGGTACACGCAAAGTTTCGATCGCCATCATATCTTTCTATATGTTGTGACATTTTTTACGTCTTACATTAGGGAATCCGGTTGAGGCTAAAATCAGGGAAGGCACGTCTTCTAAAAGAGAGTTCGATGATAAGTCTCCTTCTAAGCACTTCCATGGCCTCCCTTATGGCCACCTTGGCTGTCTTGTGCCTTGCCATCCCTCTCCGTGCGAGAGTGCTGCGTCATGCCGTCTCGTGCTGGACCGTGGCCAGCCAGCGGTGTGGCCTGTCACGGCGCCTCGGCTCTGGAAACTGTGCCATCGGGCTACGAGACTGAGAGAGCATAGCCAACCACGCCAGTAGTGGTTTGAGACAATGAGGCAGTTTCAGTAGGGTTAGGCCGTAGTTGGATGGACTAGAAATGGGGAATTTGCTGGACAATGGACATGCATCATAAGTAAGCGTGACATTTTTTTGCTTTATTTTGTCGCATCGTGTTTTGATGCTTTTATCTTTTTTCTTTTAATAGTATCGTGGAAGTTAATAGGCTATTGTATACGACGTTTCGGAGACTTTGCCAAATAAAACAACTATCACGTGATCTTCAAAAAGAGTATTGAGTTCATGCTTTTCTAAAAAAAATTGTCGCGACGAAATCCCTAATAGGTTGCGGAATGTGGCTATCACTATCTTTCGGTTGCGGAATGTGGCTATCGACATTCCTTTCGTTTCCAGCATATCACAGAGATATGACTTGTCCTTCACGATTAGCGGTTATCCGACATGCCCGGCACGCAATAAAACATCGACCATCCCTCACGTGCGGGCACATGAACTCGCTCAACTAATCGGTGGCTGCGCTTTCTCTTCTCGCTGTGCCCTCCTTGTCAGTCGGGCCTGGTAACTGTCGGATGCGACTGAGCCTGGCCACTGGCTGCTGGCCGTCGGCCGTCCCACTGACCACCGCCAGTTGTGTGTCAAGGCTATGAAGTGTGTGCGCACCGGCGACCGACCGCTCGCCCGTCCGTCCGCCCGCCCCACCGTCTGTCCGTCCGTCCGTCCGTCCGTCCGTCCGTCCGTCCGTCCGTCCGCTCGCCCGCCTGTCCGTCCTGTTTGGGCGGAGCTGGGTCGGTCGGTGTAGTCTGGTTCTCCGCCTGTCCACGGCCCGTCCGTCCCGTCCCTCGCCGCTGTTTACCTCACCGGACGGGGCCGCTGGGCCTGGTGTAAGTCATCCCAGCACTGGTGTCGTCATCGGCTCTTGCTGCCGTCACGGCAGTGTCTGGGTTAGGAGCCGCTGGTCGCCGGTCGGGGTATCGACGAAAGCACCGGCTGGAGTCCAGTCTGGATACTTGGCTGGAGCTCAGTGACAGTCTGGATACTTGGCTGTAGTCCATCTTGCGGTGCCTTGACTACTGTTTACTTACCGATATATGTACAATTGTACAATCCATTCTGGGCGCACGTGCTGGATTCCAGCCTGAATGCATCGGTGTACTGATGCATCGGTCTGAGTGTATCGACTTAATGCCAAGTATAACTAGCTGCAATGACCTGGCAATGACTAGCTGCAGTCCAGTCTAGGTGTTATAGCCAATTTCATCGTGGGTGCAATGTCTGCGTTTTAGTTAAAGGGCACTGGTTGAAAGTCCACCCTGCACATATAGTGTCCACTGTCAACCGACTACATGCTGCCCTGGCTCGGCTCCACCGACTACAATCCAGTCTGGGTGTAATTAAATATTTTTAATTTATCGCCCTATGTCACAATTTGGGAGCTCTATCTAGGTATCTAACGGTCCATCACCTTTTGCTCCTACCAGACTGGTTATTGATTCACCTTTATTGGATCGATTCAATCATTGATTCATTTTATTTTTTTTCTCTATATTCAATCACCGTTTGATTCCTCCAAAAAATTAGTGAATCGATTCCTTTCGATTCAGAGAATCGAAAAACAAAAGGGAACGATTCACGTTTGATTCAGCCAAAAAGTTATTGAACTATTTTTTCGATTCGATTAAAACAAAATCAAACCAATATTTGGCCAATATTTTTACACAATTTATTTTTACACCTGAGCAGCTCCATTGTTGCATTGCACCGGCGCATTAGGTATTTGTAATGAACTATGTATGTTCACTTCAATTTTTTAAGTTCATGAATCGTCAATTTTTTATTCAATCAACCCTGATTCTCAATGCTTCGATTCAATCATGGCCTGTGAATCGAACAATTCTGATGGTGAATCAAACCTTTTCGATTCATCAAATGTTGTTTGATTCAATCCCAATCACGGGTGAATCGAACACCAGTCTGGCTCCTACCCACACCTTCTTCATTGTGGACACATCGACTAAGGGAGCGAGTCCAGTGGAGCCCGGTACCTACCGGTTTGGCGACATCTCTCCCGCTGCACCGCACTGTGCGTTTACACGGGATTATTCAGCCGTCTGCACGAACGCTGAAGGCTGCTGAACCGAAGCCGCAGCCAAGGCCCTCTAGCCGCAGCTATCAGATCTCGATCTGTCGACAGCAAGCTTAGGCTGGGAAGGATGAATTGTGCATTGGTCGTCTGGTTGGGTTGTATCCTGTGCACGGTGTGCGGGCTTGAGTGCCTGTGTGATAGAGAAGGACTGAAAAAATATGGCGTGGAATGACGTCTGTTGAATGCCGTAGACTGCAACTTCTGAGATAAGGTGTCACAATTTATTTTCGCACGCTGCTGCCTTACCTCTGGCACTTACCTTGCCAGCTTTTGAACGCATTTCGAGCAGCATAACACAATCTTATCTTGTAAGCTCCTTACTAGGCCTTCAAATATTTGATCTAACAATATCATACAACTCTTTCTGACGCATATCCCTCCGATTGTGTTGCAGTATGGCTCTGATAATCCTTGTGGCTTCATTTGACTTTACGTATAGTTAGATACCTGTCTGACTCTTTCTTCCGTGACCCCTTTCCCTGACCCCGCTGACCCCTCTCACTGACCCCTCTCGCTGACCCTCTGACCTTCCTCTGCCTGACCGGCCGACCCCTGCTGACAGGGTTGGCAAGGGGTGGCAAAAACTGGTTTTTGCCAGTGGTTTTAACCGGTTTAAACCGGCTGGCAGAAACCCCGGTGGCAAAAACTGGCAAAAACTGGATAAAACTCAGGTGGCCCAAACCTTAAAGGGACACTCCCACCTTAACATTAGTTTTGAGTTGAGATAGCCAAATTGGTGGCCATGGCCTGCAAATACCGGTTTGGGCACTCACAACATCGACAAATGCTTTAATTCGGAGATATGGAATTTCAAACTTGCAGTTTTCAGATTCTAAGGGGCTAGTGCATTGGTATGCCCCCTTAGAATTTGTGACGTCAGCGGAGATCTAACGATTTTTAAATCTTTTACTAAAACGTTTGGTAGCACGCGGTGGTATATGCTGCTTTGCGCGCAACAAATGCCGCACTTTCAAATAAAGTCGCTAGGAACAGCGGAGATCCCAAAAAGTAAACAAAAGTAAAAGTCTAATATCTTGAAAACCGGTGAATATTTTTCGATGAAATTTGGTAGATATTCGTTTTCGCTCTTTCTGAACCGAGCGACATCACTTTCGTGCCAATTCATTAACTTTTTTGAAGGTGGGAGGGTCCCTTTAACTTTTCTAGTTAGGAATGGATCTGAAATGTACAAATGCATTTCTGGATGTTATAGAGATGCACCAAACATTCTGAAGTTTGCCTCATTACTTATCCCTGCTTAAAATGTCTATGCATGTCGGTAGACATCCCCCACAGAATGCATTTCCATGTAGGGGAGAGTGGGGCAAAGCTGCCACGGTAGGGTGCCGTGCGCATATCGGTGGCAGATACCCCTTCGCACTTCTGATTGTGCAGGACTCACTCTTGCACTGGCTCATTTGTCAACCCCAAAAGGCGTCTTACTGGTTCCTTATCCCGCGCCCTGGTGGGGTCTGTTTATAACGCGACCTGGTGGTGGTGGGGGGGGGGGGGGGCTATTTTTTGCCCCCCCCCGTATCTCCGAAACTACTGGACGGATCCGCAAAATTCAAACGGCGTTCGAAAGGCCTGTCAAATTTGTCGAAGGAAACCAAATTTCATTGACCTCGGGGTCACCGATGACGTCACAGGTCAGGTCAAAGATGAAATGTTTCACCGTTCACGGGTCATCTAGAGAATGCGCTATAACACCGAAGAAAACGCATTTTGTCGAGAATCAGCGATAGGGCGTCGGTTGCCTAGTACATATGTTGCTATAAGAGGTCACTGACATTACCAGGTCAGGTCACAGGTCAGGTCACCAAGGGTCACAACTCACAGGTCAGGTCACATGAACCTAACTTTAGATACTAAGGTTGTGCGATGCATGTTTTATGGCAAATTTTTCATTTCCAACTCAATGGTGTTGGTTATAAGACTATCAGGTACGGCTTAGGTCACTTTCTGGTGGAGGTCAGGTCAAGGTCAGGTCAAAAAAGGTCAAATTTCAAAGTTGATATTTTTGCATAAAATGGGTATTGATTCGATGCAGCTCGTCACGGGGAGTCTAATGGTGGTCTTTGTTTTGCGCTACGAGGTCTAGAATTGCTAAAAATTGAGTTTGAAAATTTGACGTCATCAATTTTGAACAGTTTTTTCGCTATAACTTGGCCAAAAAAAGAGGTATCGATTTCAAATTTGGTATGTAGATAGAGGGCGGTAGGGACTATCACATATATTCCGGTTTTTTTCGAAATTCAAAAAACTTTTTGGATTTTTTGGTTATTATAATCGAAAAATCTATTTTTTGATTTTTGGGGTCAAAATCCAAAAATTTCAAAAATCCGAGATAGCAGTTTTGTAGCCCTGTCAATTCTACAGCTTTTATGTCTTTATCGTTTTTCTGTATTTGCAAAGCTATAGGCCTGACAGCTCTTCCCGCGAAACCGTTTTTTGGGTCGAAAACGGCAGAACATGACGTCACTCTGACGTCATTTCCGGCCAACCTATCATAGCCTTTGGAAAAATTTTTGGTCACTATGTGTAAAATTGATGTCCGGGAGGGTACTGAAAGTTTGGTGACGATCGGCGCAGCGGTTCTGGAGATATATCGAAAAATCTGGAGGGGGGGGGCAAAAAATAGCCCCCCCCCACCAGGGCGCGGGTTAAGGAAAGCCCATGAAAGTGTTTTTGAGTTATAGAACACTTCAACGGTCAATGTCACTTCTGTTTGAAAGCATAAAGCTTTCACCGAATTCTCCTTAAAATGTTTCATGTTCAAATCCATGTCTAGGCATATCATTGTGATGGTTTTTAGTTTTTGCCACTTTTTGCCACTTTTTGCCGGTTAAAGCCGGTTTAAACCGGCAAATGGCATAAACTAGTTTTTGCCGGCAAAAATGCCAACCCTGCCTGCTGACCACACTTTCTCACTTGACAGTGCCTGGCTACCTCTCATGGCTCTTTGATCTGTTTCCCTCTATGACCCCTCCTCTGACTCTCTGACCCTTGCTGACCGGTCTCTCTGACTCTTGACCCTTGCTGACCGGTCGCTCTGACCCTTCCTCCACAGGAGCTGAAGCGGCACAACGCGCAGGCGGTGGTGCGAGTCTGCGAACCCAGCTACAAGACGGACCTGCTGGAGAAGGAGGGTATCACCGTCACCGATCTCGAGTTCGACGACGGCTCCTTCCCGCCCGCGGAGGCAAGTGGGGTATAGTCAACCAGTCTAGTCAAGTCCAAATGTAGTCTGCCAACCTAGTCTAGGCAACCGTCTACCGGTGCAGTAGACGATGTGTTAGGTGCATATTGTATGAGCGACGTGCGTTTTGACAAGGATAATATTGAAATCGTAACTTGAAGCACGTTTCCCCATGTCAGCTCAGATAAACGAATGGCTCATTAGCTATGTTGAAAGGAAAATTCGATGCTCCTTATGCTAAATGATTTTGTCCTTTCGTTATGCATAGGTATGCAAGATGCGTTGATTGTTGCAAAGATAACTTTTTGCAATCGGATGGCAGGGACAATGTTTTTTGAAAGTTTACCGAACTCTGCTAATCGATCATGTCCGTGTTTACTTGTGCCTGTGCGTTCTGAATTTAGTTCTGCTTGAGCCTTGAAGCGTTTTCCCACATTCAGCATGAGATCCCCGTTCAACGGTGGGACGTGATATTCGTGTGCTATCTGGTACTCTTACATCAGGTGTTTTTGAACTTCCTCTCAGGCTGAAGTCAAACAACAGCTGAAAGATTAGAACTGTCAAGTGTTGTCTGACCTCCCCAGTTATCTTACCTGATGAATCGTTTTCCAATCACCCTATTCACTGCCTGACTTCCCTGCAGCTGTATTAATTGCACTATTCATTGTCACACCCCCAGTCGACTGATCACTCCAGTTATTGGACTTCCCAGCATGGCTGTCGCCTATATCTGACCTCCCAGACTCAACCAGACCTCACGTTATCTCACCAGTCGCCTATCTAAACCAACAGTCATAGACTGTCCCCATTACCCCCACGTTGTACAGTCGTGTACAGGTTGATGGTCCGCTACTCTTTATCCACCGGGTTCCTATGGCTCAGCATTGGCAGCAGCCGCCTGGTACCGGTAGGCTGTGCCGCATGACCCGAGAGTGAAGCGGCACAGCCTACCCACACTGTATGACACCGGCTCGGGTCGCCTGGTAGAGCGATTTGACCGGACGCTGCGTTACACCGGCTGGGGGAGGGGGGGGATTAACCCGCGCCCAGATGGGGTCTGCCGAGCAACGCGGTCTGATGGGGGGGGGGCCATTTTGGCCCCCCCCCCCTCAGATCTCGAGAACCACGCAACATAGCGACAAGCGGTAAACGGTGTTGGATAGCCCCAACGGGGAACTACCTTGTGACCCAATTTCATTGACCTCGGTCAAACCGATGACGTCACAGGTCAGGTCAAAGGTCGAATTTTCACCGTTTACAGGCATTTCAAGAAATGCGTTGTAAAATCGTGTAAAATGCATTTCATTGAAAATCATCGATGGGGAAATGTTCTTCAAACACATATTTTGCTATTTGAGGTCACTGATACCAGGTCAGGTCACAGAGGTCAGGTCACTGGGGGGTCACAATATGAAAGTGTCGTGTGATACATGTTTTATGGTCCATTTTACATGACAAATGCGATTATGTGGGTCAGACAGACTTTAGGGCCAGCTTAGGTCACGTTTCGGTCAAGGTCAGGTCAAGGTCAGGTCAAGGTCAGGTCAAATGAGGTCAAATTTCAAAGTTGATATTTTTGCATAAAATGGGTATCGATTCGATGCAGCTCGTCACGGGGAGTTCAATGGTGGTCTCCGTTTTGCGCTACGAGGTCTAGAATTGCTAAAAATTGAGTTCAAAAATTTGACGTCATCAATTTTTAACAGTTTTTTTCGCTATAACTTGGCCAAAAAAAGAGGTATCGATCTAAAATTTGGTATGTATATCGAAGAGCGCAGGGACTATCACATATATTCCGGTTTTTTTTCGAAATTCGAATTTTTTTTGGAAATTTTTTGAGTTTTTCTAAAAAAATCAATTTTTTTGATTTTTGGGGGTCAAAATCCCAAAATTTCGAAAATCCGAGATAGCAGTTTTGTAGCGCCGTCTTTTGTCTACACAACCACATAAAGAACTTTAAAATTGCTTGTTAACTGTAGAATTGGTGAGCGTTTCAAGATGTCATGTTTTTTGCTCATTTTTACTCGAACATGACCTCAGTTTGACCTCAATAACTCCTGACCTGAGGTGACCTGTGACTTGAAATTTTGTGTGAAGGTGTCAAATTGATGTCCGGTAAGGTAACCAAAATTTGGCGGCGCTGCGCGCCGCCGTTTTCTCGCTAATTAAGAAAAACCACAGGGGGGGGGCCAAAATGGCCCCCCCCCATCAGGGCGCGGGTTAAGGGTCATTCCTGTCTATTTGGCTCGGCTCGGTGGATGAGGCGGGCTGGAGTGTGGTGTGGGGCGGGGGTGATGTGGGGAGGGAGTGAGCGGACCTGGAGCTGGGTGTGTGTGGTCACTTGTCGCATAGAACCGATCGTAATCCACCCTCCAAAAATTCGCTTTAGAGATATTCACAAAACCCAGGGGGTTCAAACACCCATCTCCCAAGTGGGGTGCGGAAGGACAGGTAAGGGTCCATACGGTCTCCTCATGAATCGCAGCAAAGAAAGAAACCAGACCTGTCACCAAATAATCATTCTGAAAAGTGGACTAATCGCATAGCCTCGGACACAGAAATAAGCATCCAGCACGCGAAGCGTCTCGAACCGGGCCTGTCACTACCGGCCAGTTTGACAGTCTAGCACTCCTACGCTGAGCTACACCGGATGGTGGCCACGGCCGGGGCAAAGTCTGGCTGGGCGGGCGGCGGGGCCGGGAGGTCGGCAGCAAAGTCAATGAATGTTTTTTTGTGGTTTCGGGTGCCGGTCGCTCTAGCTTGGTGGAATGATGATGAATCATTGGCAAAACTTTCAACGTGGAGTCCCGGTTCGAGCCTCATCGGGGCTCCGGCTGCTTTTCCGAGTTAGGATCTGGTTTGATTTTAGTGGTTGCGAGCCATTTATACGGTTTTATATCTACATGTCGATTGTCGATTGATTGATTGATTCATTCATTCGTTCATTTAATACATGTCGAGATTTAGCATACGAATTGACATCCAGGATCAATCCGATCAATCTACCACTTTCATAAGCGTATTGCCTAAATATCATGCATATATTATGTGGCACAAGACCTATGGTTGCCTCGATACCGTGCCAAATCACGTTTTGCACAATGCACAAGTAAATTATATTCGCTGAGTCTTCCGTGCATTGTGCTTAGCAAAAACAGGAATGCAATTGTTAAGCGACGCAAAATGTGCAATGCAGCAAGTGACCACACACACCCGCCCAGCCCCCATGGTCCACCAACACGCCCCACACCACTCGCCAGCCCACGCCAACCACCGAGACGAGCCCCTCCTCCCGGGCTGGTCTGACGCGACAGCTGGTCTACAAAGCGCTCCACCCGGCGACCCGAGCCGATGTCAAACGGCGTGGGTAGACTGTGCCGCTTCACTCTCGGGTCATGCGGTACAGCCTACCGGTACCAGGCGGCTGCTGCCAATGCTGAGCCATAGGAACCCGGTGGATAAAGAGTAGGGGACCATCAACCTGTACACGACTGTACTGATTGTGTCTTCCGGTGCTCACTTACCTCGTATCCCACCCCCATGCAATTCAGATTAAGCACCATCCGAGTGCTAACTGAACCCCTCATGCTGTTCTTATCTGCTATGATGTAATGGACATGTGTCTTCTCTGCAAATCGGTTTAACCGTAGCCCCGTTTTCCCCTCCCATCACTGATTGTGCTTGCCGGTTCGTACTCACACTCGCTTCCCCGTCGTTTTTACGGTTTGCATATCCACCGACATCAACCTCCCCCGTTTCCCCCGCCGCACTGTGGAGGCTGTGACTGCCGATATTAACTCCAGTCTCCACCCCGTTCCCCTTGCTCTCCAGGTTGTGACCGAATGGCTCGACATAGTGCGGCGCCAGGCCCGGGCTGACCCCACCTCGTGCGTGGCGGTACACTGCGTGGCCGGCCTGGGACGGGCGCCCGTGCTCGTGGCGCTGGCACTCATGGAGCTCGGACTCAAGTATGAGGACGCTGTGGAGCTCATTCGAGAGTACGTATCATGGGGAGGGGAGGGAGGGTAGAGGGGGAAATAGAAAGGGGAAGGGGGGATGGGGAGCGCCCGGAGGACTGAGGTCGGAACTGTTCGCCGATGGGGTAGAAGTTTGTGAGGTAATACGGTGGAAGTTGTGGCTGTGGAATTTGATGGGAGCTGCAGGCCAGCGAGATGGGATCTTGGGAGACGGTTGGAAGTAGGTACTGAGTGAAGGACGGGTGATATGAGGGCCTTGGAGACTTTTCGAAGTTTTTGAGCCCAGCTTTGTAAGGGGTCTGTGGTGAGATCTGATAGGACGTATAGACGATTTATGAATGCGATTGATAATGAGTTGACTCTCATGGAAGGCCTATCCAATCCAATTGGCCTGATTGTAGATTAGTAAAGCAACAGGAAGCAGCTACACTGCGCCAATCGGCCTGTAGAGAGACTGAACTCGAGGTTGTTTATACGATTTGTGAGGACGCTGCCATTATTCAGTTGCTATACGGATGATGGAGTTGTAAGTGTAACACTAGCCGTTGTTTACTGTCACTGAGTGGCGCCAGTCGCAGTTAGTGATCGCTGACGAGTGACGACCAGTACTAGTTGTTGACTAGCGTTAACCGTGAGTCAGAGGTCAGTGACATTCGACGTGTACGTATTGGCTAATTCGGAAGTCGTGAGTCACGGTCAGTTGCCATTAGTGACCGGTGGGCATTACTAAAATTAAGTTACGGACAGAAGTCAGTGGTACGTAAATTAATTTGTTGACTGAGATCGATGGACGGTAGTCGATAACTTCTGTAGACTGCACAGCCAATGGTTAAAATTGTGATAATCTGTCGTGCTATATAGACCGCACACACCCACTAGAGCGGACGGGGCTCGCTCGCCATTCACCCGGTCAGCTCTTATCGTGGGGTTCTGACGTCACGGCCGGCCGGCATTCCCGGACCGCGGCGACGGCGCCGACGAGGAGAATTTCCGAGGAGTGGCGTGACGTCATCCGTGTGCTGACGTCATCGGTGACGGCAGGGGCGGGCGCGCCGGACGTGGCGAGAACACGAGAGAAGGGTTAACGCGATTAAAATCGATTGACCCAAACGGCCACTTCTGCTTCAGCTTGAGGGAGCTTCTTGTTTTGCTGGGCACGGGAACTCCTTCGAATACTGCTTCTCTGAAAGTCAGCTATTGGTATTTTCACAAGTCTTCGTAGATTATGATGCATGGGTTTTATCTGACACCTGAATATTGATGACCAAGTGACTTTCCTGTCTTACAAATCTGTCATAACATCCCTTCATTTCCACTTGTCAAGAATCTTGCGGCCCGCGGTATAAATGCACTGAAATCTGAATAACGTGTGCTGGTGGTTAATTTATCGCCGCCAGTCATTTTCTCCGAATATTGTCGACTAGCGCTGACTGCCGAGTATGGATTGTTTCCCGGTTCAGGGAAATATAGCAATATTAATGGTCATACATGGTGGGGAATGTCACATGTTTCATGCTTATCACCACATATGTGGTGTCACGGTCATATGGCGTCAAAATATATCACTGAAGAAGAAACGGGTATAGGCGGAAATGAACCCCACGCAAGCTCCGCTGAGCATGTGCTTTGACCTGGGAAATCCCCAAGGGATAGAGGAAAGAGGGGGGAGGAGAAAAACAGAAAGATACCGAGTAGGGTGACGCAATGGTGTCACACACCATGTGACCTTTTGCTGGTGAAAACCACGTGGTACCTATATGCCAATTGTTGCACAACTCCCTCTGTGTGCACACTGCACTTGTCCTATGCTAGTATGGACGGATGTGTAGGTTCGAACTTCGAAGCGCGTCCACCACGTGGGTGGCACGGGAGCGGTTTCCTACGCGGAGCGGACGGGGGAGCTGGCGACAGTGGCGCCCTCTCACATGACATGTGACGTGGTGCGCCGCGTGGGTCCGGCCGGTGGAATTTCTCCCTCTGCTGGGATTGCGTCATCCGTCATCGAGCGTCTGCCGCCTGTGCGCCCCCTCTCTTGCCCCACCCCCCAAAGATGTTCGGGAACCATCGCCCCCGCCGTCTCTGTAATAAGGGTGACCAGTGTCTGTTCTGTGCTAATCATCAGGCGTGTGATCAATGTAAGGTCTGTCGCCCACTGAAAGTACCGGCTTATCGTGTCTGCTCGTTAAGTGGGGGCTGCTATTTATCGGAGATAAGGGACGGCTGTCTGCCGCGTGACGCTCAGAACTTCCGGCTGCAATTGGAATTATTGGGACGATGATAGGAGAGGTGCACTGTGTCAGTTTAGAGTGCCGATAGCACAAGGTCTCAAATGAATATTAACTGTCTCAGTCGTAATTAAATCGGCGAAGGTCGTGAAGATTATTAGCTGGGCGCTATCGACGTGTTATCTACGCATGCTTTATGATAATTTCAATTCATTTCGCAGTTGATGATCTCTATCTATGCAATAAGTCGTTGGCCGTGAAGAAAGGTGTTTTTGGCGCTCGGGCCAGCGTAGATACCGTTTCTTTGGCCCTGTCATTGGAGGCTCTGGCTCTTTATATCTTGACATTAGCCTCTGGGCGCTGATATACCCTTTCCATCGTGGACGAGATACTTTGAATACAGAAGTATCTATATTACTATTTGAGGTGACGTAGTTTCTGTCTGTAACCGAGGTCGCGACATGGTGCTACGTAGCGCGGGTTACAGATCACACCGTTGCACCTACCACGCTGAAATTTGCGCAAGTTATAGAACAAGGATGGACAACGTGCCTTTGAGCGGTCTCGGCTCGATCGGATCGATAGCGAGCGCGTGGCGCGTGCCCAAAAAGTGCAAATTCGCGTCATAGACTTAACATGTATAAATCGGCTGGCAAAAACGGGCGAAAATGGCTAAATTTGCCCGACACGGGTCCGTTCCCCGTGCAATATCTCGGTAGCCGTGCGCCCGATCGGCACGGGGAAAACAGCATCGTGTAGATAATCGAACGGGCAATCGAATAGTGTGCGGTGCAGGGGTGGCACGCGCCACGTGCAAGTGTGAGGGCAATTTCATTTCAAAAAGTGCCATTTTAAACGGATTTTGGATTTTATTTTATTTTCCCGTGACCATCAGACTGAGAGAGTTGAAACAACGTCAATTGGCAAGAGAAATGTACCGCCTCTCATGGAAAAATTGTGAACAGCTAATTAATCAAAAACAATGTGGAAAAAATCGCTGAATTAAATGGTATTTGTCCATAATGTGCCACTAAAAAGTTACACGGGATTTGCTGCTTAACCTGATACGCTTGACAATTGAAAATGCTATCATTAGAAAGAGCATTCAATTCTCTCCAAGATCCAATCATCACGTTTGCATGACAAGCAACAGTATTATTAAAAATATAAATGTTTTAAACCTCTGCAAAACGATTTTTAGCGAAAATTATCTACGCCTTTCATTTGTCTTAAAACTACGCACCTCAATTATAAAGCACATTTGACAGATTCTGAAGTGGAAAGCATGCTTATCAGACACGGGCACCTCGATGCGGTGGATATTTTTTCCACAAACCAAAACGTTTAGCTGTCAAAAAGCAATCGACCGAAATGGATAGATAACCCAACCGACACAAGAACAACCGAACACCCGCCGATCGAAAATATCCCTTTTCGCGTTGCGGAGCACGCGGGTCACCCTAGTTCACTGTCTATAGTAATGAAATGTTGTTTTTGTTCAAATTCTTGCGAATAAAGTGACTCTGGAACGGCGGACTGAGGCAAAAGCTCGTGTGCGTCGTTATTTTATGGACTTAGACTCCCTATTTCGCGGGTGTAGTTTTATACATTGTAACTGCCAGGTGTAGCTGCTGGATCTGGCTGAATCCATCGTTCTAACTGGTCCATTTCTGTCCTGCTCCAGGAAGCGCAGAGGAGCCATCAATGCGAAGCAGCTGCAGTTTTTGGAGAAGTACAAGCCGAGGTCGCGCCTGAGGAAGAACGGCGCCAAGGCAGGCTGCTCAATCCAATAAAGATGTCGCCACCAGTCCGCCGATAGAGGACGCGGCGGCTGCTGCTGCTCCTCCACCTTGCTAGGGATGCTGGACGCTGGACATATCATGGTCCAAATTAGTTTTTTTTTTCTCAAACGTGAGCCTGACATGATTCCACCCTTATTTGTGGAGCTGTTTTACCACTCTTGGTACTATGTTGTGCGAACATTTGACTTGTCATCTTTTTTCAAAGTCGAAAAATGAAATGAGGAGGGGACATAAAGACATTAGGATTGGGCTGAAGGAGGCTGAACCCACCCAAACCCCATGCTACCAGCGGCCATCGAAACGATGATATTGAACAAATGCAACGACCTTGGGTGAACGGATGCCTCCCTGGTCTGGTGCAATGGTCACCCTGGGTCACTGATCAGTGACCACGTCTCCTGCGGTCGACCGACCCCCTGCGGTCGCGAGCTCCGATACGGTAGGTGCATGTCTCGGTTCAACTCTCCCGTCATTTGGCGTGGATCGAGTTATAGATGGCTAGTTGTCACTGTGATGGCGACTTCCAGAGCAGGTCGTGAGATGTCTCCGAATGCTTCTATTCCGGGAATGAGCTGTTTTCGCTTGGAGAATGAATCACGGGTGTTTGTAATATAGCCATGTTAAAAATAAACGTATCAGTGACGAGCATTGTCTTCTTGCTGCTATCATGGCTGGGTAACTTCAAGCTAACACAAAATGAGGTAGATGTCACGATGAAGCGCTAACAAAGCGAGATGTTCACACCAAACACGACATTCATGGCCATCTTCCAGTGAAGAAGTGGCACCCTTTTCTGTCTGGCAGACGCAACTCTAAGCAGACTGTGGAAATGTCGCACACAGTGGTTCTGCCCTAACGCTAGAGTAGATGCATGCAGACGCAGACGCACAGTCATCAACGGATACACTAGACGTGTCACAAGCGACGCTATGAAGTCTGCGGGTATTTTTTTAATGCAATGTAAATCCACCAATGTTCTGCAGGCAAAGGACGTTTACATTCCGCTGTTTTCTTAGCAGTTGGCGGCTTTCAGTCGTTGACTTCTATTGCCACCTTCTATATAGTTCTTTCGAGACATACCTAAACCTACTATACCGTGGTGGTGAGTGGTAATTGACATATTTGACACAATGCGAACTTAGCCCGCGCCCCGCTGGGCTTTTCAGCCATACGCGCCCTGCTGGGGGGGGGGGGGGAACAGATTCTGCTCCCCATCTGTCTAACTTCCGAACCGATGGTCGTAGAAAGACGGGGAAAACGGCAATCGAAAGCTCTCAACAAGGCGGATCTTAAGAGCCGATTTGTTTTTGCTTAACCCTATTAGTGGCAGGCTCCTGGCTACCCCATATTAGTGGCAGGGGGGGGGGGGGCTGTTTACGACCCCCCCTTGATATCTCGAGATCTAACCGGCCGATTTTCAAAATTCAAACGGCATTCGATTTGGCTCAACGAGATCTACATTTCTAAAAAAAATTAAAAATGTCAATAGGGGGGTAAAGGGGGGTAAAAACGGGCAAATTGCAGATACATTTTAGACTGTTTATCACGGCCAGGTTTCTGAACCAATCTTAACGCAACTTTTGCCGATCGATAGAGAATGAACCAGGAATTCACATGGATCCTAAAAATATGCATTTTCAAAAATCATAGGCGGATACAGATCATTGAGATTGGGGGTACACAAAAAGTATAGTAAATAAGGTTTTTGTTGATGCTGTTTCTAAAAAGGGTGGCAATGGTCTTGTTATGTTACAATTTTCTTATGAGAGAACGACTAAAATTGTATTGGTCATGCATAGGCGGTGTCAGGGCACATATGTTGGGAGGTAAAAAATAACCCCCCTTTTTGGACGCCTGGATCCGCCTATTATAGCAAAAACGTGTCAAAAGAGGATGCACAATAACTTTGTATATGTTATCACATGATACCTTTCATTCACTGTTCGTAAAACTGGTGCAGCATCGTGATCTTCGCCCAAATGACTCGCTTCACGAATAGGACCCCCCAATTCCCAGTGCTCTGGAGCCGCCCCTGGTAAAGTTATGAACTTGAAATTTTCAGGGAATGTGCCCAATTTAGTTTTAGGAAACGTCAGAAAATTTCAGCATCGTAGCTTCAGCGGTTTCGGAGATATTCCCGAAAAACCTGAGGGGTGGATAAAAACAACCCCCCCCTGCCACTAATAGGATTAAGTAGGTCAGAGGTCAGGTCAATGGTACAAAATGCAAGTTTCTACAGTATCGGCCTTGCACCGTAGTTGCCGAAGAATGGACTGAGACTGGTTGCCCAAAACGTGTTCTTAGGCTACCAAGACAATAGCCGTTGCATACAATATCATGCAAGGTCAAGGTCAAGGTCAAGGTCAGGTCAGGTCACCAAAAACGAAATATAGAAAGGACACGTGCGACACATGTTTTATGGGTCATTTTATTCATAGAATTAAATAGGCACACTCAATAAGCGATATGGTCCACGTCTTGATAAATTTCAGGTCGAGGTAAGCTGAGGTCAGGTCAAGTGAGGTCAAATTTTGAAGTTGGTTGTTCAGACCTAAAAAGGTGTCTATCTGATGCAGTTTTTTCACGGCAAATCGAATGGTGTTATTTTTGTTTCCGTACGAGGTCTAAAACGTCCAAAAAATCATTTTTCAAAAAAATGTGTGTCATGACGTCATTAAATTTTGAATAACTCCCACATTTTTGAACCGATTCTTCTAAAAATTGGTATGTAGGTGCACATGAGACCACTTCTCTGATATATATTCCAGTTTCTCAATACACTCAAAATTTTGGATTTTATAATCATTTTCCCCAAAAAATCAGTTTTTCAAGGGCCAAAATCCAACATTGCCATAAAAACGAGATAGCCATTTGATAGACAAAGTAGAAGCACGTATAACGTTTTTGTCACGTCTTGATTCCTTTAAAAATGAAGATGTTAGCGGCGTTTGAAGTTTTGCTGTTTTTTAGGCGAAAATGTCGTGACATGACGTCACTTAACGGTAACCCGCGCCCCACTCGGGGGGGGGGGGGGCTATTCATAGCCTCCCTCCCGTTTGCTGCAATAGGGACGTATCGCCGCCAAACTTTCAGTACCTTCGGCTGCATCAATTTGACACCTTGTGTCAAAATTTGAACTTCGTATCTATCATAGGTCGGCCGGAAATGACGTCAGAGTGACGTCATGTTCGGCCGATCTCATCATCTCGACTCAAAACATTGAACCACGGGAATCGCTCCCAAGAGCTCAGTTTTTTAGCTAGATTCAATTTATAAATGCGAGGGTCCTGAAAGTTGTGTCGCATTCGGCTGCTTTTTACGCGAGTTCTGCGCGAAAAACCTTTGGGGGTTGCATCAACCCCCCCCCCTGTGTCGGCGAGGGGCTGTAGCGTGTCAGTAAACCACCAGTGAACTTGAGAAGACCTGCCGAATCAATTGATGGGCAGTAGCCGTTTTCACGACGGCCATCTGGTACACATTTGGTGCACATCTGGTGCAGATCAGGTGCAGATTTGGTCAAATCAGGTTCAGTGTGTCTCTTAGTAGCTATCAGCTAGGGTTGCACTAATTGTTTATATGCCTGCTTTGTCGTATTATCAGAGAGCATCATCGATTAAAACACTGAAATAAACTCATGGGTGTAACTTTGTATACTTTTGAGGTCCCATGTGGGACCCCAATGCGAACATTTGGGACCTCAATTGTCATTTTGGGACCCCAATAGTGGAGGCCCCCGAGAGCACCAGCTTCTTTACAAACGGAGGCCCGATGTTCATATAGAAGGTTCTCTGTATAAATAGGAGGCCCCTTGGACAAATCGGAGGCCCTGTTGGACAAATGGGAGGCCCCTGGACAAATAGGAGGCCCCCTGAGCAAGTAGGAGGCCCCCTGAACAAGTAGGAGGCCCCCTGAACAAGTAGGAGGCCCCCTGAACAAGTAGGAGGCCCCCTGAACAAGTAGGAGGCCCCCGGAAAACAGGAGGCCCCCTGGAGAAATAGGAGGCTCCCTGGATAAATAGGAGGCCCCCTGGAGAAATAGGAGGCTCTCTGGACAAGCAGGAGACCTCTTGGACAAATACGAGGCCCCTAGGCAAATAGGAGGCCCCATGGACAAATAGGAGGCCCTCTGTACAAATAAGAAGCCCCCTGAACAAATAGGAGGCCCCATGGACAAGTAGGAGGCCCTCTGTACAAATAGGAGGCCACTTTCACCAAAGGAGGCCACTTTCACCAAAGGAGGCCCCTGGGCAAATAGGAGGCCCCTTTCACAAAAGGAGGCCCCCTGGACAATTAGAATGCCCCCTGGACAAATAGGAGGCCCCTGGATAAATAGGAGGCCCCCTGAACAAGAAGGAGGCCCCTGGATAAAGAGGAGGCCCCCTAAAATAGGAGCCCCTGGATAAATAGGAGGCCGCTTGGAAAATAAGAGGCTACTTTAACCAATAGGAGGCCCCCTGGACAAATAGGAGGCCCCCTGAACAAGTAGGAGGCCCGCTGGACAAATAGGAGGCCTCTTGGGCAAATAGGAGGCCCCCTAGAAAAATAGCAGGTCCCTTGGACAAATAGGATGCCCCTGGACAAATATGAGGCCCCGGGACAAATAGGAGGCCCCCTGTACAAATAGGGGCCTCTTGAACAAATAGGAGGCCCCATGGACAAGTAGGAGCTAGAGGCCCTCTGTACGAATAGGAGGCCCTCTGGACAAATAGAAGGCTCCCTTAATAAAATGGAGGCCCTTCAAAAAAGGAGGCCCCTGGACAAGTAGGAGACCCCTGCACAAACATGAGACCCCTGGTCGAAGAGAAGACCCCTGGATAAATAGGAGGCCCCTGGACAAATAGGAGGCCCCTGAACACGTAGGAGGCCCCCTGGATAAAGAGGAAGCCCCCTGGAAAAAAGAAGCCCCCTGGATAAACAGGGGACCTTCTGGACAAACAGGAGGCCTCCTGGACAAATAGGAGGCCCCCTAGACGAATAGGAGGCCCCTTGGACAAATAGGAGGCGCCATTAACCAATAGGAGGCCCCCT